CCCGCTACACCGGTGCTGCTGGGCTTCACGGCACGCCGAGGATGCTGGCAGCCCATTCACGCGTCCCTGTTCCCTCCTGTATCCCTCCCAGCCCCCCCGAGGTGGGTTCCCCACTTTTCTTTTGGTTTTTAACCATTCTGTAATTTATTACCCATGTTTGCAAATGCCACTAATCCAAATTAAACTTAATTTATTGACGCTGCTGCTGGCCTGCAGCCCTTGCTGCACCCCAACCCACCAAGGGCTTCAGGGGTGGAGGGCTGCATAGTCCCATCCCCAAAACCTCTGGAAGCCACCAGAACCCCCCAGGTGATGCCACAGACCTCCAGCACCTTAGGGATTGCTTTGGGTGCCCCCCACTCAGAGACCCCGAGCAGCTGCAGGAAGATGAGGGGGCATCCCATGGGAAGCCCCAGGTGGGGTGGGGTGAGGAGAGGGGTGCCCCACACAGCTCCCCTGGCCTCTAGGGGCCATCTGGGGGGTGATGATGAAGAAGGTCTTGGGGGCACTGGCATGGTGACAAGGTGCACGCCAGGCTATTGGGGGAGTGGTCTGAGGTACCCAATACGGTCAAGAAGAGGACAAGGGACCTGGTCTCCACCTTGCTGGGACCAGTACGGAGAGCTTGGAGGGGTCACAGATTATGCTGGGACCCAGTTCTTCCCCCTGGTTCCCTATCTTGTCCCCCTCCCCAGACCCTTCCCCACACTGAGAGCTCCACCATACCCATTGCATGAACATGACAAAAATCACTCCAGATTTACCAAACACCTCCAGACACAGGAGCTGAGGGTTTAGTGGGGGGAAGTTCACACCAAACACCCCCAGTAAGAGAGGGGGGATGTTGGGGGATGCCAGGGGGGCCTGGCCCATCCTTCATCTCAGCCGGAGTGGGGGATTGGGGGGTCGGGGGTAGCATCGCCCCCATCCCCCTGGGGACAGGAAGAGCCTGGAGGGGGCATCCCAGTGGGGAAGGCACAGCGGGAGGACCCCTGTCCTGGGGACCCCCACCCTGGGAACCCTCCTGGAAGGACACTTGGCAAGGCTGGGGGCTGAGCACCCACAAGGAGACCTGGTTGCCAGCCCTGCTGCCCCCAAGGGCAACACAAAAGCCCCGGGGAGGGGTGGGCACACCCAGCAAGTACCTAATGGGCAAACTGGGTGGGAGTGGGGGTATGCCCCAGAGGCACTGGTGGTGTGGGGTGGGCTCTGGGGGAAGGCACTGATCTGGCTCTGCGGTGAAAGGATTGCCAGGCTGGGGATGGTACTTCCAGCATAGGGACATCTCCCCAGAGTGGGGATGGGGACCCTGCCATGTGAGAATGGGACTCCCATGGCTGGGTTAGGGACGCCAGGGGTGGGGACAACACCCATCCAGGTGGGGACAGAATCCCCAGTATGGGGAAGACAGGACCCCTGGGGATGGAACCTCTGGGTGGAATGGTGGGAAAACAATCTCCAGGGATAGGGGACAGGCAACCATAGGACAGGAACAGAGACCCCCAGGGAGGGGATGGGACCCCCAGAAATGGTAACAGGGATTCCTGTCATGGAGACCAACACCTGGGGTGGAGATGGAACCCCTGGACATGGGGACAGGGACCCATGGGGTGAGGACAGGAACCCCCAGGGGTGGGGACAGCACATCCAGGGCAGGGATGGGGATCATCAGGGTGGGGCAGAACCCCTGGTGTGCAGATATGATGTCCAGCATAGGGACAGGGATGTACAGCAAGGGGATAGTGATAGGCACCCCCTGGGTGGGGATGGGGATTTTCTAGGGTTGGAGTGGGACATCCATGTTGGGGACAGGGACCCTCAGGGGGACAGGGATGCCCAGGAGGAGACAGGAACTCTCACAGTGGGGATGGGACCTTCAGGGTGGGGACAGGATCCTTAAGAGTTGGGGATGGGGACTCTGAGCTGTGCCTAGTGCTGTCTATAGGGGCTGGCTGAGCCATCCCATCCTATCCTATCCCATCCCATCCTATCCCAGCTCAGCCCAGGCATCGTGAAGGCACTTGGGTTGAGACATGACTTTGCTCAGAGCCTCCTCCTCCTAGCTGTGAGGGGTCATGGGGGGAGCCAGGATCCCAAGGGTTACCCCCGAACACCTCAACCACCATCCCTTCTCCCAATAAATAAAAAATAACTTAAATGTGAGGGCACCCCGTAGGGATCCTCATATGAAATTATCTGACCAGGACCCACCACCCCCCTTCCCACCCCATTACCCAGCATCCAGGGTGGGGGACGGGCTGTGGAGGTCGTGGGGCTCCCACTTGCTGCTGGTGATGGTGGGATGAATGGATGCAGGATGTGGGACTGTGGGATGAAGGATCCTCAGCTGCAGGATGCACAGCTGCAGGACCTGGGATGCACATCCATGGCACCCTGGGTATGTGGCCACAGGATGCTGGGCTGTGGACACACGGCTGTAGGATCTGGGATGCTCAGCTGCAGGAGGCAGAGCCACAGGGTCCGGGATACGTGGCAGCAGGATGTGAAATGCACAGCCATGGGATCCAGGACGTGCATCTGTGGGATGCAGGATGCTGGGCCGTAGGACACACAGCTGCAAGGTCTGAGATACAGGGCTGCAGGATTTGGGATGCTGGGCTGCAGGATGCAGAGTATGCAGCCACAGGGATGCTGGGCCATAGGATGCACGGGATGCTGGATGTGCGGCGGCAGCTACTTGCGAAGCTGGAGGCTCTCCAGAAGGATGCGCTTGTGGCCAGGCTCCAGCACTCCAGCCTCCTCCAGGTCCTCCTCTGTGATGTCACTGGGAATGAAGCACAAATATGGGGCTCTGCCCCCGAGGGGCACCCAAACCTCGGGTGGGGTCCCCACGTGGGAGTGCTAGAGCCCCCACTCGGGTTGCTGGGTGCCCACCCAGGCTCCATCCTGCTCCTGCTGCTGCAGGGTTTTGTGACCCTCGGGTGGCAGTGGGGATCCTGAGAGGCAAAGGGAATGTGGGAGCAGTGGGGACATCTTGGGCAGCTGGGACACCCAGACACCCATGGGACAGCAGGGACCCCTAAGAGCAATGATATCCTCCAGGGTAGCACAGAACCTTTGGGGGCAGTAGGGACCTGCAGGGGAAGCAGAGACCCTCAGTGGGCCGTGGGGAACCCCCAGGGACAGTGGTGACCATCAAGGGACGCACCCCCTCGGACCTCCCCAGAACCCAGGTATCACAATGACCCCCTGGGGAAGACATGGACCCACTGGGGTTGGCCAGGCTGCCGGTGGGATTGGGTGGGGGTCCCTCCCCACCGCTCTGGGGGGCTGCTCACCTGAGAAACTCCAGGTCATCCCAGCCATTGCGCACCAGCCCCTCTTCGTACCGCTCCAGCCCCAGCGCCCGCAGCCACTCGCCCACACCGGGCACGGTGCCCACACCACGGCCCAGCGCCTGCACCCCAACAGCCTCAGCACCATGGGGCACCCTAAAGGGAGCCCCAGCTGAGGTGCTGAGGACCCCCACCCACCCTGTATCACCCACCTCCTCAGCCAGGTCCTCCTGGATGCTCTCCTGGATGGAGTGGGGAGGGAAGGCAAGGGGGTGGCCATAGTCGGGGTGCAGGCAGCGGGGAGGCAACCCCCCCTTGGCCAGCAGCGGTGGTGGGGGGACCACCCTCCCCTTCCCACCCCCATAGTCCACCTCACTCAGCGTCTTGGCCATCTGCAACACTGAGCAGGACCGGTCATCCAGCAGCCCTCCCGGCAGGCCGCCAGGAGTGGGCAGCCCCCCCACTGCAGGCAGCCCCCCGCTAACAGGCGTCCCAGCAGCCCCCTCCATCCCAAAACCAGCCCTGGCGGCTGGGGCTGGCCGGGGGTGAGGCTTAGGCAGGGGAGCCTCTCCTAAGGCAGCAGGGTGGGTTTTTGGGTCCTCACAGCCGGTGGACACCAGCAGCTCCTTCGTGGTGCTGAAGAAGGTGTTTGGGGGGAGCTCCAGCTCCCGTGGCAGTGGCGGTGGGGGAAAATCCGGCGGTGGCAGGTTGAGGGTGCCGAGGTCCTCTTCCTCATCACTCTCGCCACCACAGCACGTTGAGGGGCACTGGCAGCACTCCTGTACTGCCAGCTGCACCTTGGCCTTGGGGGGCTTGCCGGGGTCCCCCCGCACCAGCAGCTGGTGGGGGACCCCCTCCAGCACGTAGTATGCTGGGTTGTTGAAGCTGTTCTTCAGGGGACCCCCTGACAGCTCTGGCATTGCCTCCGCCTTGGACCTACGGGCACAGGGGTGAGCGTGGCACCCACAGAGCACTCCCCCTCCCTAGCCCTGCCCATACTCCCTCACCGGCTCGGGGCGGCCTCGTCCCTGGGGGTGCTGCGGTGTGGGGCAGGGGGACGAGATGCTGCTGGGGTGCTGCTCTTCTCAGGCTCCTCTGGCAGCTTCGCCAGGATGGTGGTGAGGGGCTCAGCACCGGTGGGTTTTCGCCCTGCAGACCTGCCAACAGGAGGTATTGGGTGTCCCTCGAGGCTTGAACCTCCACAGTGCAGGTTCAGACTCCCAGGACAGGGCTCACATCACCCAGAACACGGTTCAGACCCCGTGGGATGGATCTCAATAACCCAGGTCAGGGCTCAGATCCCCAGGATGGGGGTCTGCCCTCCAGGATGGGGTTCAGCTACCAAAACACAGCCAGAAACATATTTAGAGGTTCAGAGCCCCATCCCCACCCTTTGTGGCACAGAACTGGCATCAGGACTGTCCCCAGTCACATCCTACACACCAACCCAGAGGGATGCTCTGAGCAACACCTGTGCTCAGGTGAATCCCTGAGGCCTGCTGACCCCCAGCAACTGGTGCCCCCCACCCTGCCAAGCCCTGTCCCCCATACTTGGCATTGTCCTGGGCGGCCCTGGCAGTTAGCGGCACCTTCCCTTTGCTTGCTGTCGTCTCATCCTTATCGACGCTGATCCACTCTGCCAGAGAACAGGGGTTCAGTGGTGGAGTCCTGTCCCCACCGTCCCCCCTGGGGTGAGGGGACCTCACCATAGAGCCTCTCGCGGGTGCCCAGGCGCTCCGTGGGCACCCGGACCTTCATGGAGCCACGGATGTTGCCGGTCTCCTCACCACGGTGGGACAGGTAGGTGAGGAACTGCTGCGCTGTGCTGCCAATCATTGACTTCAGGGCAATGACACACTCCCCTGGGGGTGAGAGTGGGGGAGGTTGGGGGTCTGCACCCCATGCACCCCCGGTGCTGGCGTGGTGCTGGAGTGGACACTCACCGTAGGACTCATAACCGTCAAGGGATTTGACGGTGAGCAAGAGGTGCTGGTCCTGCAGGTACTCAATCTCGGAGAGGATGGGCTTCAGCTGTGGCCAAGGGAATGGGGTGCTGGCACTGAGTGGGTGTCTCCCTGCCTGCAGTTTCCCCCAGCACCCACGTGTCAGCCCCCAGCCCCTCCTCACCGTGGGCAGCTGCCGGGATGACCACTGCACCTTGAGGAAGTTGATGTTGTCACTGCTCTGGCTGTCATTCTCAAAGCTCTTCTTGAACTCTGTGGGGCAGCGGGACATGGCATCAATCCTTGAACCTCCCAGCATGCCATGAGCTTTCTGGGGCCCCTCTCAAGACCCTTGGGACCCCCCACTGCCCTCCCAGTACTCACCTTCCAGGCAGGTAGAATAGAACTCGATGAAAAACTTGGTGCGACTGGACGTCTTCACGATGGCCTCTATGCTCTCAAACTCGATGTATGCCTGCTCTGAGGACTTGGAGAGCCCTCCATGGAGAGGCGAGGGATTGGAATCCCCCTAGGACCTCTCTATTTAGAGGGAGAGGTGGGATCATGGAGGGGCAGGGGACAGTGAGGTATCCCCTTGGGCATAGGCACCTTTTTTGGAAACGAACTGGGATGTCACTCCCACTTCAAAGGAGCCGAAGACAGGCGAGTGGTCACTGGTGACAATGTCATCTGTGCACCCTGCAGTCAGTGGGGATGGGGAAGAAGTCAGGATGGAGGGGGGGACCATCCCCAGAACAGGGACAAGGGTGCTGGGGAGTGGTCACACCGCTCACCGTAAGCGTTGCAGTTGACATGAGTCTCGGGGTAGGACTTCCAGAGGATGCGGTCACACCAGGATGGCACGTTAGTACGTACCTGGCAGGGGTGGGGAGAGGGTGGGGGTTCAGGTTGGGGTGTCCTCCACTCCTCTGACTCCCCCTGCCCCAGCACCTACCCCTGTGGGCTTCTGCTTGTGCCAGACATAGGTGTCCCGGGAGCCTCGCTCATAGCGGTAGGTTGGGGGGAAGGTGATCTCCTCCTCACCTGCAGGGACAGCAGTGGGTGAGGACAGTCCTGACAACAAGGGCTGCAGCCCTAGACCCTCCTGGACCCCCCCAGTCCTCACCAAAGCGCAGGAACACCTTGTGCTTCTCCTTCTCCAGATTGAGCTGATCCACCTTCAGCAGCGGCTCCAGCTCCTTGCGACTGATGTAGTTGAGGATCTCCTGCAGCAACAAAGAGGTTGGCACTGGGCTGGGAGGGGGACCCTGACAGCCTCACCCACCTTCCCAACCCCACCCATCCCTTCCCCTGACCTGGATGTCCATGTCTAGGCGGTAATTGAGGTCCCCGAACCAGAAGAGGTGAGTGAAGCGAAGGGAGATGTCAAAGGAGCTCAGCTGCTTATCCCCCAGTGAGAGCAGGCGCAGGATGTCCAGGTAGTTCTGGTTCCTCCTGCAGCAGGGGACATGGGGACAGGGTGTCACAGACACGAGGACAGGGACAACAGCTCTGTCCCAGCCCAGCCCAGGGTGGGGGTGCTCACCGTGCCGTCTTCTCATTGCCAGAGGTGAGGTGGCAGTTGACAAAGCCAAAGGAGGTGCCGTTGAACATGAAGGAGACACCCACAGCGCCTTTGTTCCCTGTGAGGAAATGGAGACATGGGATGGGATCAGGCAACCCCTGATTCTACCTCGGGGATGGACACCCAGCTGGCCCCAGGTCACAGTGATGGGGCACAGTCCTCACCTGGCCAGCTGGCACAGGCACATGCAGAAAACACTGAGAGCCCTCCTCATAAAACACACCCCCAAAGAATCCCCCTCATGCAAAGCACGCTTATCCAGGGCCTTCTCATGCAACACAAACATTCCCAGAACCTTCCCTGTGCACTGCACACAAAGCCCTCCTTGTGAAACTCCCGTGCTATGGGACCCCTCCTTGTGCAACACACACACACTGGGACCCCTCCCCATGCAATGCCCACATACCAGGAGTCCTCATCATGCAACACATGCAACAAAAGGATCTCCCCCATAATGCAGATATCCCAGGACTCCCCCCAGTGCAGTGCACACCTCTGTGTCCCTCTACGCCCTGCTGTGCCCCTACCTAGGGTGTTGGCGATCCCTGTCTTGACGCTGGAGGTGCTGACGTGGCTGATGCGGTTCTCGTGCTCTGGCTTCACCAGCACCGCCACCTTGATGTTCCACAGGGACTGCATGGCCACCTGTGGGCACCAGCACCCTCAGCCCCCCGTCAGCACGCACTGGGGCCACCTGGGGCCTTAGGGTCCCCTCTGGTGTGTCCGCAGGGGATGCTCATTACTGCTTCATCCCAGCCTCTCCCAACAAGGCCTGCTGCCCAGGGAATCCCACCACCATCAGTCAGTATCCACAGCTACCCAGCACCAGGAGAACACACCAAAATACTTGCTGTCAGCAGACCTGGAGCACCCACAGCCACCCAGCACCATGAGAGCATCTCAGAACAGCCAGTGTCACAGAGCCAGAGCACAGCTACCCCCGGGACACTGAGAAACACACACCTCCACTACCCACCAGTGCCTGCACCCCACAGCCCTGGACCCCCTGGTTCTTACCGGGCGGTACTCAACTTCTGTGAAGTCCTTGAGGACAGTGCGCAGAAAGTCCACCCACTCCTTGTCTCCCAAAGAATTCTCCTGGGTGCCGAAGACATAGATGTCGTGTGGTATGGCCATCGTCACCTCATCCAGGGTCTTGCCCAACCCCTTGGAGGTGATCCACGAAGTGATGTTCTTGGGGGGAGGAACACTGCCTGCAGGGGGGACAGCACAGTTAGGGGGGACTCCAGGGCCTTGACACCCCACTGTGAGCTGTCCCCGGCCCCACTCACCCATGTTCCAGGTGCCAATGAAGACAGAAATCATGTCAGGCTCATCCTGGTGAGAATGCTTGTTCTTCATCAGCTGCAGGAGCTGGCAGAAAGCCTCACGCTTCTGCAGGAGGGGGCAGTGAGGGGGTGTAGAGAGGCTCCCCACAACCCTCTCCAGCCCCCCTGCTTTGGCTCAACCAAACCTGGCACCTTCTGGACATGGGGGACTGCCCCAGGGGCATCACCCAGCCATCAGGCACCGGTATCCAGTGCCTGTCCCTGAGCCCTATCAGGGCCCAGGGGCTAAATCCTGCCCCACCCCAGCCCTACAATGCACCCCTTGTCCCCCACCTGCTCCCAGCTGAGCATTACCCACCCGAGCACTGACAAAAACAAAGTCCTTCCGTTGCGTTTTATCCTTTTCCTTCTCAAAAACGATGCCGAGCTTGTTCTGCACCCGCTGTGACTTGATCAGCTGCCGGACTGCGGAGGAGTGGCAAGAGCTGGGAGGTTGCTGGGTGCCCAGCTGGGTACTGGAACCCCCCCAGTCCATGCTTTGGGGGACCCCCAAGATGGGGACACCCCAAGCATGAGGAAATCCTCCAGCTTCTAGCCCAGCACTGAGCCTTACAGGGGTGCTCCCCAGCACAAAGGCAATCCCATGAGTGCTGGGGCCCCGAGACGCCTCCACACTCACTCTTGTCATGAGTGAAGGTGTTCCAGTCCTCCTGGGAGTCCTTCTGCTTCTTCAGCACCACTAGTTTACCCCCCTCCACGTCCACACTCAGAGTGTACTTCTGTGACTTCCCAATCTTGGTCAGGTCCCCCAGGGTGATATCCAGCTTCACCTGCCAGAGGACAGTGGGATAAGGGAGGACATAGGGGACACCCCAGCACCCAATTTGGCATCTGGCCTCCCCCAGAGACACCTGGGGGTCCTGTGCCCTCAGTGTCACACTGGAGGTACTCAGTTGATGCCGAAAACCCCTCAAACCTCCAAAACTGGGCAGGGCAGGGGGTAGGGTAGGGCTCACCTCGAAGGTCTGCACTGGGATGCTCTTGGCCTTGCGTGAGAGGGGTTGAGGGGGGGTGGCAGGAGCGGCTGAGCTCATCTCCTGCAGGGCCTTCAGTGCCTGCCAGAGTCCCAGCTGGGTCAGCTGAGAGCCCACCAGTCCCCTTAGATCCATCAACCCCTCCAGTCCCACCAATATTCCAAGCCCCACCAGCCCTCACAGTTCACAAGGCCCCACTGGCCCCCTCAGCCCTGCCAGTGCTAGCTCCACTGGCCCCACCCAGTCCCACTTGTGCCTCAATCCCACAAGCCCATCCCCAGTCTCTCAGCTCCACCAATCCACCAATCCCTGCTAGTTGCCCCAGTCCCACCAGTGCCCTCAATCCCACAGTCCCTCCAGTCCATCCAGACCCCCTCAGAACACCCCATCAGGCCATCCACCCCAGCATCTCCAGCCTCACCTTCTTCTCGATGGAGGACAGGAAATCTTTCAGCACAGAGAGCTTCAACACCAGGTTCTCCAGCTCCTGCTCTCCACTCTGCCCTGCTGTCTGGAATCCCCAGCAGGATACCCCAGCACAGGGATGTGAACCCCAGACCCACCCCAAAGCTTCCCCTCACCCCAAGTGGCAGAGCCCACTGGCAATCTGGGATGGGGCAGGGTGATGGGTGTTTCTCCACAGGCTTTTCCACCACCCATGGATGGTAGGGGGTTGCCACTGCTGTGTCCCCGTATTCCCCTTACCTGCTGCAGGATCTTGGAGACCATGGGGGAGCTCTGCTGGTCAAACACCTTGGAGAGGATCTCCAGCCCTGCTAGCACCTTGTCCACTTCACTGGAGGGGCAAGAGGAGCCGGCTCACTGGGTGGCACAGACATTCTTCCATCTGTCCAACTGTTCCAGTGTCCAGCACTCACCTGTGCAGCCGTTTGCAGGACGTGACGAGCGTCTTGTTGAGGTGGGGGAGGCTGTTGGCCCCTCCCTTCACTGCCTCCAGGTCCAGAGCATAGCTGCCCTTCAGGTACTCATGGGAGATGCTGATGAGCCCATTGGTGCTGCAGAGAGCACCCAGGGGGTGAGGGCCAGCAGGGAGGAGCAGGGGACAGACAGGGGGACAAGCAGGAGACAGACAGACCCTCACCTCTCCACTGGTCCCTCTGGCACAGATGGTCCCAGGCCAGTGGGGCTGAGTCCCACCGAGGTGCCAGAGAAACTGGTGGAGCCGGAGCGTGGTGGCAATGGTGGCTTCTCATCCTCTCCGTCTGCAATGGAGCAATGACGGGGCCAGTCACCGCCACCCCAGGGGTCTCAGGACCCTATTCACCCACCCACGTCACCTGCCATACCCGAGTAGTCCCTGTCTTCCACGGTCTCCTTCTCTTTCTCCCTCTCAACAGGAAAAAGCAGGGTGCAGACCAGCCCCTGGTTGGGCTGCAGGTACAGGGCAATCAGCTCGTTGAGCGTCTTGAAGCGCCGCACCTGCACCCCCTGTGACGTCTGCGGGGACATGGGGACACCAGGACCATCAGCGCCTGCAGCCAGCATCACCGGACCCCCCCCCAGGTGGAGACACCATCAAGCAGGGAAACCCACCATCCAGGGATGCCACCATGCAGGACGTCCCCAAACAAGAATCTCCCCAGGCAGGGATACCACCATGCAGGGACCCCCAGGCAGGGATAACACCATGCAAGGATCCCCTCATGCAGAGTTGCCATCATGCAGAGATGTTCCCATGAAGGGACCCCCATGCAGGGACCTCCTCAGGCAGAGACTGCCATGCAGGGATCCTCCCATGCAGAGATGCCACCGTGCAGGATGGGGGGCTGACCCCACAGCCCCATGGTGGGGACCAGTGCCCATTGCAACGGGGCCTGCAGGGCTGGTAGGCAGGCTGACAGGGTGCAGGCAGCAGCCGTCCCTCGGCTTCCTCCCTCCCAGGGGCAGCTTTTCCTGCCCGCCTGGCCAGCACAAAGAGGGCTCTGTTGCTCTAAAAATACCCAGTGCCACAGCCAGCCAAGATGGGCACAGCCAAGCCATCCGGCACAGCCGGGCACACACGTGGCACTGGGCCAGGGCTGAGCCCAGCACAGCCACCCAGCACAGCCAGAGAGACGGACAAACTCACAGCACAAGGTCAACACTGAGCGCTGCTGAGCTGGAGATCCCCCAGTGCCCATGAGCCAGAGGGTGTCCCATGCCCGCGCTGCCCACCTGCACGGCCAGGAAATCCTCCTCGTCTGGCAGGATGCGGTACGTGTGGACGTGTTTCTGGAACCTGCGGCAGCGGGGAGGGCATCAGGGTACTGGGGGTTGGGTGGTGTCCCCCCACCTCCCTGCATGGCCCCTGCCAGCCCCAAAGGGATGCCCAGTACTCATCCAGTCATCCTACTTCACCCACAGTGAGAAGCTCCAATAGCACTGTTCCCCATGGAATGCAACAAGCTGACAAGGAAAGCCCATCGGAAAATGCTTGCAAAGGATGGGTGCTGGGAGTCCCAGAGTGACTCCCCTGCTTGCTCCAACCCCACAATTGACACTGCTATGTCCTTGGCAGTGCTGCTGCCCCTGCCACACTGCCTGTCTGTGCCAGAGGCACTGTCCCCAGCCCACAGCACAGGCAGGAGCTGGCAGGTGCAGGCAGGAGCTGGCAGGAGCTGGCAGGCAAGACACCAGGAAACAACTTATTTTCCAGTGGAAGCTGACAGAAACCAGGGACGTGATCCCATGGCAGGTGGAGACGGGCAATGCTAAGAGATGGGGTGACAACATCACTAGGGGCAAGGAGCAGGGTTGGGACACCTCCCGGTCTCAGGGACTCCAGGGGACAGGGTGTCTCAGCACTACCAGACCTCCCCACTCCACAGCTGTCAGCAGGAACAGTGACTCCTTGGCTGGGCTATGGCCACAGAGGTCACCATGAGCATTGAGGCTTCTGTCCCCACACCAGGGCCACTCAGTTGCTGTGTCCCCTGCCCTGGTGGCAGCTTGACACAGGGCTGGAGGACTGGAAAAAGGCAGCATCCATCCATCCCTCCATGCTGTGCTGCGTCTCTGGACAGGGTGCCATGCCCTCACATCCTATGCCACGCTGTCACGTCTCCTGGTGTCATCCTATAGTTCAGTTCTGGTTACCCTGGTGCCACCATGCTCCCTGCAGTGGCAGGTACCCCATTTCTCCTGCCTCCCCTGCAGGTTATGACCTCCAACACCACTGGGATCTTCCCAGGTGCCCCAATGCCCAGCTGGGGGTCACTGGGAGGGTGGGGCCATGGAGAGCCCTCCAAGTGGTAGGGGGAGCTGAATGGGAATCCACTTTGGGGGGGGCTGTATGGAAAATGCTGCTGTGGGTGAGAGGATCAGGGGTTCCCAGCTCAAGTCTGTGGGAGAATCCCAGCTGGTGGGATGGCAGGGGGGGCACAAAGAGACACCCCCAAACCAGTATGCTATGCAAGCAGCATAAAGGGTCTTGGTGGGAAGTCCCAATACACAATTGGGGTCTCCATAGCAGGAACACCAGTGGAGGTGTGAAGGGGATGCAAGAGGAACCCCAGCACAGCACCAGTAAGTGGAACTCAAGACTGGAGGGGCAAGGAGCAGGACCCTTAGGAGGAACCTCAGCTGTGGGGGATATCAAGGGGTTCTCTATGGAAAACTGACGGGGGGCTGGAGGGACACACAGCACCGGGAGTGGTACTGTGGAGGGGGACTGCAGGGCCCCCTGGCTGCCCAGTCCTGCACCGCTGTCGGCTGCTATTTTGGTAAGCAATGACGGGAGGGGGGGGCCAGAGAGCACCGGGCTTGGGTACAAAGAGCCTTTATGCAGGAGCCACAGGACTCCCCTGCCGTCTCTGACGCACAGCCAGCACCCTGCCACAGCCCTGCCAGCAGCACAGTGGGCACCCCGTATCCCCACTGCTCTCTGGTACCCTACTCCACCAAGAACAGGATGTGGGCACGCTGGCAAGGGGGACACCGTGTGCCCACTGGCACCACCCTGGCACTGGTGTCCCCATGAACTGGCCGTGAGCTGGGATGGAAGCTCCAAGCCCCCGCGCTCCTGTGGGACACCAAGCCAGGACTGTCCCCACGGGCACTGCTCACCAAGCAGGGATGTCAGCACACCCTGGGATGCCACTGCCACATGCCAGCTGGAACTGTGAGTTCCGGTGATGCCCCAATATGCCACCCTGAGGCCGTTAAGTGTGACACCCCAGTGTGCCTTGGTGAGGGCACAGTGAGATGTCCTGGTGTGCCACATCCAGCCCAGTGAGTCCATGGCGCACCGGCGGGAGGGTTAAAGGAAGCCGACACTGCTGGGATCCCGCTGCAGTTCCCTTTCCTCCTTCTGACCCTGCAGCTATTTTTAGGGCCCCAGCAATAGCTGGGCCAATGGCCCCGCAGCCCTGTCCACCTATTCACTGACAACAGGGATGCCTGGTGAGATCACAGCACCAGGGACTCCCAACAGTACTTGTTGCAGTGCAGCCTCCCAGCTTGGCATCCCCACGATGGGCTTTGCCATGCTGCATGGTCCCAGTCCCACAGCCCAGCCATGTGGCACCCATGGCCTCCTCACCAGGCACTGAGAGACATCAGTGACAGACACACCTTACCCAGGCACCTGCACCATGATGCTGTCTGTAGCCCCCTGTTACCCACACTGGCACCACAATGCCCCCCAGCCATATGGCACCATTAGGTGCCAGAATAATGTGCTCTCCCAGGGCTGTGCCTAGTGCTGCTCGCCAGCCCAGCTTTGTGGTAGAGAGCTGGTGCCCAGAGCCATGCTATGCCCACATGGCTGGGAAACTGCATTTGCCACTGTCCACAGGGAAGGACAACCATCCCACCAAGGAGGCTGCATGCCTGGCACCTGCACGTGGCACCAGCACACAGCAACCTCAGGCCAGGGCAGACCAGCTTCCAGTGTACTCACAGTTCTCCCACAGGCTCTCAGGGCACAGAAAAGCTTTGAGTTCAAGTGCTCTCACCACCACCCCACAACCACATCAAGGTCCAGATGCTGGTACAGGTAGTCAGCCTCAAGCAGAGGCAGTGGCAAGCCCTGGGAGCTCCCAGAAACATTGCAGCACATGGAATACCATCAGCACAAGGTGCCAGAGGCCTCAGGTATGTTGGGGTGCTAGGGTGCACCACTGGGCAAAGGCATTTCAGGACCCCAAGGGCTGTCAGCACTCACCTGTGACCTGGCACAAGCTGGGAGCCATGGAGTTCCATGGCAAAACTCAAGGTCACAGAGCTGTTCCCCTTCCCCAGGTTGGGGAACCCTAGACATAACGGCAGGAGCTGGGGACCCCCAGTGCCATGGGTAGGCTCAGGGACCCCAAGAGTGTGGGGTAGGGCCCAGGCCGCCCATCTCATGGACCCCCATGGTAGCAAGGGTCGCTGTCACAGCCCCCCTGGAGCCAGCCCGGTACCACCCCCAGCACCCACAGATCCCCAGCCCCTCCAGAGTCTGTTGGTGTCTAGTGTTCTGGGACACCCAGGCCAGAGCAGGTGACATTCCTCTGGTGCCCTGTGTCCCAGAAGTGCCAGCATCCCTCTGAACCCCCAGGTCTCTTCGCGTCTGTGCCCTCTCAGCACCCACTGACCAGAGCCGTCCCAGTCTCCCTGGGCCCAAATTCCTAACAACCCACATGGTACTGGTGACGCCCATGTCGGCTGTATCCCCGCAGGAGGGTCCCTCCTCTACCTGTTGCCCTCTTGGTGTTGGCATCCCCAGTGCTCTCTGCGTGCTCCCCTGGATCCTTTCCAGTGATCCCCAATGCTTCCCCTGCCAGTGCTTCCTTGGCGCCCCCCGCTCCCGCCCTCGGTGCCTGTCCCACCGTTCTTCCCGGTTCTCTGCCAGTGCTTCCCTGGACACTCGCCCTGTGTACCACAGTGTTCCCCCGAATCCCTGCAGTGACCCCCATGACGCCCCAGTGTTACCCCGGTACCTCGCTGGTGCTCTCCCAAA